CTGTACTACATACGGCTTCCAATATAAGGCCAATCTTCCACGTTTATTATTTTAAAGTTAAATTAGAGTTTAGTTATATTTTATATTCTTACGTTTAGACCACAAGTAGTGGGTCTTTGTATTCCGAAGTACGGAAAATATTGTAAAGAGAGAAAAATAAAGGGGTTTTGTATACCCTTCTTGTGTATCCTGTCTACTTCCCACAGTTATTGAACATAGCTTTAGTAAGCTCTCTGTTCCGAGTCAGGTCCTTGCATGTTCCCAAAGAAAGTAAGACGGAACATTGAACCTGATAACGTAATTGTAATTAATATAACTACTATGAGTAAAAATCCTTTCTAAGATATCCATCCATCCATGTTTCAGCCTGTCAGCGGCCGAGCGGTAAAGACGCTGAACACTGGTAGTTCGGTCCGAGGCTCCAATCCCGCTAACGGGCTGGCTTCATGGGCACTTTCGTGGTTTTCCCCATGTGTAATATGTATACGAGCCAGTTCCCTCAGAAAGTTCTCCACGAAGGCATCCCTCCCTTTGGGTAGATAGTCCTCGTGCTCTTTGCCTATATGTAATTGTTTCATCGAATATTAACTATTCTTTCCTTTATGAATGGAACACACTCTAAAAATAAAGCTTCGTTCTCTCTGATAACAGATCATTTAGTGCAGGAGGAGACTGGGTTGGTTTTTTTAAAAATCACACAGAGAATTTTTCCTATCATGGGTCATTTCATCTATTTGCCGATGCAAGAATCATTGCTCAAAGCAGCTTTTTTGATAATATCCCTAAAACATGTGTTGAATCACTTTAATTATCTATTTAATAAACTTGCATTTCATTCAACTATTAACCGAGACTCATCACGAAATTCAGACTTAGAATAGGAATGGAATAGTTCTTACTTATTTATGAATTTAATAATAATGAAGACTTATTTCTAATTAACTTGAGAAACATGCGAAAATTCGCGATTGTATAAGAGCGCTGAATAATAAGAACTTGCATAAAAAATGAAACAACATTCTACTATGGTAAAAGTCCATACTGGATGTCAGGATTTTTAGTGATAGTTTTACTTGTTCCTCATACACTTATTTTTTTGATAGAAAACAAAACCAATATAGAAAAAAACTTAAAGCCAAAAATATTTATGCTATCAGTTATTTCGAGGGCATTCTTCGTGCCCCCCTCCACCTGTTCCTCAACTTTTCGTACTTATCCCTAGGATCTGCAGCAGTTCCTTAAATTCTTTCAGCGCCTACATTTGATATGCAAAGATTAATAAGAATATTTCATCACGTTTATTACTAGAATGATAATAGAACATTAGATCAGAAACACTATGCTATACTTACCTTAAATTTTCAAATGTTTGACGATCTGTAATGTCAAATGCTAAAATAGCGGCTGCAGCATTGCGGCAGTAGAATGTGCTCATTCCTGAATATCTTTCTTCTCCGGCAGTATCCTGGATATAATTTATTATTATTATTTACTGAAAGTAAATTAATATACATGCACACATAAATAAAAGTCATTACACAATCGAAGAGAAGAATAGCCCTCATATCATGCTCAAAACCAGAGTATCTCAAACTTTTTCCAGCTAGGAAACACTTTAATATGCGTAACATCTTACTCGTGTCCATTTGAAAAGTAATTTTTTTATATTACTACCAAATATATTTATATCTTTAAAATACAATTTATTAAAATGTAATTTAATTTTATATTGGTATTAAGCAATTCCGTTAATAAAATTTAAATATTCGTTTTTAATAATTCAAAATTGTAACAGGATAAATGTAATCTTATTACCTAAAAATTAAATAAATGTTGGTACTCACATTAAATAGAATGGAGCCTGCCAATTCTTGCATAGCTGCTCTATTATTTGGATGCGTACTGTTAAGCTTAAATCTGGTATCGCTACATCAAGTCCATTTCGGAACTTAGTTTTTATTTGAGTTAATGATGAAAACCCTTTCTCACACAGAATGTAGAAACAAACTGAATTATAATTAAAAAAAAAAAAAATCATTGTACACTTTACTATATTTCGTTTTTATTGTTGAGGTCCAGAAATTAATCATACCTTTTGCTTGGAATTTCATTTTAACTCTGCTGATTGCAATACTGCAGTGCAAAGGATCACGAATTCCTCAAAATTTGTTATTTACCATTTGTTAATAAGTTTCAGATTTCAACATCTGAGTTGCGAGATGAAGATAAATATCGTTGCATAATACTTTTGCAATAACAATGTCATTTTCCATTAAAATAGATTTTAAGCTTGGAAATCGTGAAACATTTCTTCGTTTTATACAACTAAGCCACAAATCAAGTTTCCTCTCAAATTCCTTTATTTCCTCATAGGCGCTGAAAAATGTCAAGAATTACCTTGCAGTGAGAGATTTAGTTCATTTAGGTTTGAGAATATATCTGAAAACTATATCAATGTACTTAGTCACACATCATCAGCAAAAAATTATTAAAAATCTTTGTTAATTTCGTTTACAAATAATAAGACGTCTTGTTAGCATTTTACCTCATGAAAGCCAGCGGACTTCATAATGAACTGTTTGCACTCACCCATATCATCACAAAATGAAAACAATCTGCTGTTCTTTACGTTAATAAAGATGATTATCTTAATGTTTTCTTCAAACACGGTTTTGAATTTAGATAATATGCCTTTGACTGCCACGGTTTCCGAATGAAACTTTGGGTCCAAGTAACACCACGTGACAGAACTCTAGCTACAACGCATCCACATCTACGCCTTGTGGAACTATTAAGAACTGCTATTACTATTAAAAAAAAAAAAAAAAAAGTGTTTTAACTGTCTTTTTTGTTTGCTTGTTGAACAAAACTCAGAATTCTTCAAGACATTAGGATTTTCTTATACTGCGAGCCTTCACATCGCGAAAAGCGAGGCACCCCATTCTGTAAGTGAGATTTCAGTACTTCTAAGTGCAAAAGGTAAAATATATCTTTACTGAAGGACATTGATTTAATACCATTCTCAAACATACAGTTAAACGCCGAATCAATGCCATGGTTAATGACGTAAATCTGAATTATCAGCAGATTACGGAAAGTCTATTTTATTTACTTCAGATAGACGTGATAACAGACATTTCGAATGATACATAGTTAATTTGTTATGCCAAGTATGAATTTAACCATGGCATTCACAAAGATATATTATTTTTGAAGACTCTGCCAGTTAGTGAAATTGGAGAATAAATTCTCAAAATTCAAAGTAAGTACATACAAGAACATGAAACAAAAACCTTCACATTTTGAGCTAAAGTTAGAGCTGTGGCACTTGATGTTATCTAGATCCACTGTTTCATTCAAAGGAGAGCCTTGGAGGTCAGAGGTATGTCATCTGAATTCTAAATCACATTAAAAGACAGCGTTAAGATAATCAATTTTATTATGGTACTTTGTGATGATACAAGTAGCGAGCACAAGCAGTCATTCTAAAATCGTCGACTTTAGAATGAGTAAAGTATTCGAAGGTTCTTTGAATTAAGTTAAGAAATTCTGTTATTTGTAAACGAAATTAACGAAGGTTTAAGTGTGAAAGCATGATAATATTTAGTTGAAGCTGAGGGCACGTAACCTGCAAAATATGTAGACACATTAGGTATTTTTTTGGAAGCAGGAGAGATAGATACAATAGGGTTTCCTCACACCGCGAGACTGATGAAAAATGAGCAACGCCTTCGCCGGGACTCGAACCAAGGGGCCTCTCCAATGCGCGTCGAAAGTCCTGACCACTACACTACGAAGGCGTGCTAAAACGGCGGGATAAATACCTTATAAATATACGCATAACGGATTTATTTAACAGTTGAAAACAAGTAAATATTTTTAAAAAAGAAAAACAGTAGCGTTTTTATAATAAAAATGTATTGGATACAATCATATTAGATTACTAACGTAAATGAATTATACCTACAAATATTTTTAAAGGTATTCATCAGGACAATGAAATAATAAATTTTTGTTGATAAAGTGTGGCTTTTCAGATCCTCAAAACTAACTAAACTAAATCTCTATAAACAAGGTAATGCTCTGACTTTTCTCAAAGCCTACAAGAAAATAAAGGGGTTTGAGAAGAAACTTGGTTTGGTTTGTGGCTTAATTATGCTACCAAAAAAAAAAAAAAAAAAAACTTCCAAGCTAAGAAATTTTTCTAGTAGAAAAGAGAGTAGAAGTTTCCAGAAGAGGTTCTTTACTGAAAAAGAACTGTGCAACGACATATGTTCTCATCTCGAAACTCAAAGGTAAAAATATGAAACTTATTTTCGAGGTGCTAATAAATTTTCATGAATACGTGATCCTTTGCGCTGCAATATTGGAACTTAGGCTATTAAACTATCATTGAACCCTCGAATAACACTGGACTCAAAATGAAATTCCAGACAGAAAGCATAGTTAATTTTTGGACCTCATTAATTAAAAAAAAAAGACTGTAGAAATTATGAATTGGCAGGCTTCTTCATTCCTTTTAATGTGAGTATTAAAATTTATTTAATTTTTAGTTAATACGTTAAAAATGTTCACCAGTTTAGAAAAGCTTGGGAAACACTGCATTAGACTGTTGCCAAACCTGGGATCGTAAAGAAATTTCTTTACAATTGCGAGTCTTTATCTTTTATCTAACTTTTATTTACCTACCTTTATTAGCCTTTTTCTTTTATCTACCTTTATTTATTTAAAAAGACACATACCCACGACTTTAAATTTTACCTTCGGCATCTTAAGTAATAGCTTAACCTCAGTTTTATTTATTTAGTTTCAGTTTAACCTAGAATATGAAGATTTCCGGTTTCGCTCATATGTTTCGTACCTCCATAAAATTTATGCTGTGAACATTTAAAGCCACACCTATTGACTTGCAAAGCGTTTACGAGGAAATTTTTATTTTTAAGGTGCTCAAGTTGCGGAATGTACTTTAGGGGGTGAGTTCTCTCGCGCATAAAGTATTTTCTTTAAAGATGACGCATCCTTTCGTGCATATATTATGTATTCCAGTGTTTTGTGTATATAGACTACATTCGTGTGTTTCTCAAATACAATAGTGTATGGACATATAATGTTTTCTGTAATATAATATTGTCAGCCATGGGTATTTTGTGAACCTTTCTACCTGAATCAACTCTCTAAATACTTTTATTTCGCTTTAAAGATTTAGCAAAGTATTCACTATTATTATAATGCATTTTATAATTTTTGGTTATCAGCATTATCTAAAATATAATCATAGAGATACAGCTTAATTTAATTTTGCTCGCAATTTACAAATTTCTTACTAAACCTGATATTAATTTTTTTGGTTCAAATAGAATGTACTTTTCATAATATGCAAAATATGTCTATATTGTAGGGAAAGAACATATAAAAAATGATCAATTATTCTTTCATAGCAAGAGAGTGTGCTATCCATTGAATTATTTGAAATGACCAGTCCCCCCCCAAGAAACCAGTGCGACACCAGTGATCTTCCCCTAAAAACAATTTTTGAAGCATAATTTTTACATATGCCAAGATGTTATGCGGAGGTTAAGCGTTTTTATTGCCGTAGATGGCCTGTAGATGATGTCTATGTGCCGCAGATGATCATGTGCCATTTCATTTTTCTGTTCTCAAATTTTCTCCACGATGATGAATTCTTTCAAATTCCTATAATCATTATGAACTTCCAATTCAGTTTGGATATTCTCTCTGAAAGGCAAGGCGCTAAATTAGCGGCACAAGATGTTTTTTTTTAAATACCCCCCCCCCCCGGAAAAAAGTCTGCTTTATAAAACAGAAATTGGAATAATATATTTATGTATATAATTTATAAAATAGGCATGCGATTATAAAACAGAAAGGGAAAAAAAATGTCAGTAGCAGTATTGTAATTCAAGCCTCCCAAAAAAAACGAAAAAAAATTGAAATTTGACATTTAAACAGGTATAGAAATTATAGACTTGTTCTGATAGACAAATGATGGTCCTCTATTCTGTTAGCTACAGGACTGTATCTACCTTACAACTCAGCGCCGCAGTCACTGTCACTATCATTTTAATTTAAAGCATCTTTGTCAATGCCAAGTAAAACTTCGTTCACACGATGGTTTTAAAACATAAGTGGTCTAAGCCGAGCTTCGTTGCTCATTTCAACTTTATGCCACTTGGTATAAGAGTCGACCAATCACAGTGAAACAAATAGCAGTCGACAATTTCGCTGAGTCAACTATACATTTACTCATGCGCAACTTTGGTCGGTGGAACTTAATAAAACTGTCAAAAGCCATAATTTATGTACTGGGTTGAAGATAATTCTCACATTACTGTTAAAAAGGCTATGGTTCTGCCTGATGTAAATGTGTGGAGTGGTTTTTCTCGTAGAGGACTTAATGACCTTCTCCGTTTTGAAGGTAGCATAACTGGAGAAAAGTACCCAACA